CTTTGACCCCAGGGTCCTGCCTGCCTGGCACCCCCGGTCTGGGCACGGCGCCCTCAGCACTGCTCAGCCCTGCTTGGCCCCATTATGGGCTTATGATGCAACCAGGCTGGGCCGCTTGCATCACCCGGGTCCGGTCCTGGGATCAGCCCCCACCCCCTGGTCGCGTCCTGTGCCCAGAGCTGCAGCCCTGTGCTGCGGGGTGGGGGCCGGATCCCAGCAGCACCACGGGTGGGTACCAGGCAGGATTGGGGTCTCCGGAGGTCACGGGGAGGCTTTCCGCACTTTGCACACACTTGTGCGACTGGGGAGGGGGACAGAGCACCGCATGCCTGCACCCCACCCCAGCACACGGACATGCACTCCCTCCCTCACCTTCGCGTGTGCGCGGGCATGCACTGCACGCTCCCCTACCCCTTGCATGTGCACATGTGTATGCCCCCCAGCCCCTCAGTTGTGTAACACGCAATTTCGTGGCTGGGCACGTGTGAACGTGTGCGTGCGCATGCATGTCATCAGCCCATGGGGGCAGCCTGGATGCCTGGGTTCTCTTTGCCCCCGTGCAGAGGTGCTGGGGGGTTTGGCACCATGATTGACCTCCCCCACCCCCGACAGCCCCTGGGGAGATGGTGGCCGGCAGCAGGCCCCGGACGGCGGGCCCAGCACGGTGCGGCGGCGGCTGGGTCTGGGGAGGTGCCTGGCTGGACCCAGCAGGAGAGCCTGGCGCAGAGTGACCCCGAGGTCTGGGACCTGTTGCGCCAAGAGAAAGACCGGCAATGCCGTGGACTGGAGCTCATCGCCTCCGAGGTGCCGCTGGGGGATGCGGGGGGTCCAGGGCAGGGCTGAGTGTCTGGGGGAGGGTGGGGGTGGTCCCAGGGTCCTGGAGAGGTGGGGGTCTGGGGGGTATTGGGGTGGGCTGGGAGGAGCTCTGCCCCGCTGCCTGACCGTGTCTCTTGGGCCCCACCAGAACTTCTGCAGCCGCGCGGCGCTGGAGGCGCTGGGCTCCTGCCTCAACAACAAGTACTCGGAGGGCTACCCCGGGCAGAGGTAACTCCGGCAGGGTGCGGGGTGGGTATGGGGGGAAAGGGGTCTGCATTGAGGAGGGAGCTGGGCCCTAGGGAGGGGCCACAAGGGCCCCAATTTCCACCAGCTGCAGCCAGGCCAGAGCAGGAGAATCCCCCCTGCCCCCAGGGGTCCTGGCTGGGACGCAGGAGTTCAGGGGCTCCAGGAGGGGCTCTGGGGCGTGTGCCTGGCAGCTCCTGACCTTCCTCCTCCCCCCACCCCCAGGTACTATGGGGGGGCAGAAGTTGTGGACCGTGTGGAGCGGCTGTGCGCGCAGCGGGCGCTGGACGCCTTTGACCTGGACCCAGCATGCTGGGGTGTCAACGTGCAGCCGTACTCGGGCTCCCCAGCCAACCTGGCCGCCTACACTGCCGTGCTGCGCCCCCATGACCGCCTCATGGGGCTTGACCTGCCCGACGGTGGCCAGTGCGTGCAGGAGGGGCTGGGGGGGGCAGGAGAGCAGGGGCTGGGGGTGTAACTGGGTTGCCCAGGGGGTGCCTGGCTGAGGCTGGGGGTGTTCATGGCCTTGGGGTGGCGGGGTTAAGGGGACAGCTGGACCTGGGAGCTCGGTTTGTGGGGTCCCTGGGGAGGAGATGGATCGGGGTGCCTGGGCTGGCTGGGAGTCCCCTGGATTGAGGGGTGCTGGCACCATCCGGCCTGACGCCACATCCATGTGCCCGCCTGCGCCCACCAGCCTGACCCATGGCTACATGACGGACACTAAGCGCATCTCGGCCACCTCCATCTTCTTCGAGTCCATGCCCTATAAGCTCAATGTGAGTGTTTGCGGGGAAGGAGAACTCACACACGTGTGCTCTGAGTGTGCTGGGGCCTGCTCACAGTGGCTGTCTCTGTCTGTCCCCCCCGCAGCCGGCCACAGGGCTCATCGACTATGAGCAGCTGGAGGCCACGGCCCGGCTCTTCCGCCCACGGCTCATTATCGCTGGCACCAGTGCCTACGCCCGCCTTATTGACTATGCCCGTATCAAAAAGGTACGGGGGCTGGGGGGGCTGGATCCCTGCCCCTGCCTGGGCTGAGAGGGGCACTGGATGGGGCAGGTTGGCATAGGCTGGACTCACGCTGGCCAGACTCATGTGGCATTGCCTGGCCTAGCGGTGCCCTCCCTAGCCCAGAGGAGGTGGGAAAGGAGGGCACAGCGGCAGTGGGGGCGGCTCCTGGTGTGCCCCCCTGCATGGCTCACACCTGCCACCTGCACACAGGTGTGCGAGGAGGTGAAGGCCTATCTGCTGGCTGACATGGCCCACATTAGCGGGCTCGTGGCTGCCCGTGTGGTCCCGTCGCCCTTCGAGCATGCAGACCTGGTCACCAGCACCACCCACAAGACCCTGCGAGGGGCCAGGTGAGACTCCCCTCCGGGGCACAAGTGGAGGAAGGGGCACTGGGGGACTGAGACAGGGCCTGGCACTCGCCCCCCTCCATGCTGCCCTTCCCCAGGTCTGGGCTTATCTTCTACCGCAAGGGCGTGCGGTCGGTGGACCCCAAGTCCGGTCGGGAGACGCTGTACGATCTCGAGGAGCGTGTCAACTTCTCTGTCTTCCCCTCGCTGCAGGGGGGACCCCACAACCACGCCATCGCCGCTGTGGCCGTGGCCCTGCAGCAGGTACCTTAAGGGGGAGATGGTAGGGGAGGGGGCCTGGGGGTGGTCCCAGGCCTGTACTAATCGACGACCCCCC